CATCCCCTCCTTTGGCCACTGAGCCGGAGGGCGGTCTAGAAGAGAGTCGCTGAACCGAGCCCCAGGTTGCCCCCAATGGTCCAATCTTCTGAGAAGAACTTAGCCCTCAGCCCAGCGCCAGTCCTGCATGAGAGCAGCTGCTCCTGCCTTCGAGCCAGCTGCCTTGGCCAGCGCAGTTTTTCAGGAGGAAAGCCATGGCCACGAGCAGCCCTCAGCGTAGACTCTTGCTGCTTCTGTTGGTGCTGATGCTCCTGCTGCCCCGGGCGGCATCTGGGAGGGAGAAGGCAAAATGCCCTTTGAGCTTGGCAAGGGACCCCAAGCAAACCCCGAATTTTTACAAGCCAGGGGACTTCCAAATTGGCGGACTGATATCAGCAAGGACTGTCCTTTTTCATCCTGTCAGCTTCTCGGCACCTCCTGTCTCAAGAGTTATTGGGTGAGACTGATTGTGAATGTGGTTACATTGGGGGGGAGCCTTTTCGAACTGAGTTTAGCATGTTTGAAATCAGTTTTTTAAATGTGATGATAGGATGCACATGGAGGATCAGCTTCCTCCCCCCCCCCCGAACTACGCATATTTTCGTTCATAATTCAAGGTATTTTTCTGGGCAGCAAGAGGGTCGTTTAGGTTTTTCTATGTAAACAGAAAACTGATCCTTGCTTTTCTGTATCCCTTGCCCAAGCCAAGCGAAGGGACAGGGTTCCTCATTCCAGGCGAGGGACAGACCCGGGGTTGAGGGGTTCCAGGTGAGGTTTCCAGAGGCCTGGAAAGGGCAGACAGAGAAATACCCGCCAGACAACTCTGGCTCTGGCTGTGACCACACTCACCTCCCGTGCCCTGAAATTTTAGACCATCTTTGCCTGAGGAAGTGTTCTGCAAGACCTCACGCACCTCTGTGTGATTTTTGCGGGAACCAAAAAGGCATTGCCCAGCTCAGAACTTTCTTTCTGGTTCTCTGTGTTCATTAAATCCTCCCACACCTGCTTTAATCCCCATTTTGCCCCCCTCCTTTGGTGAGAAAGACAGACGCCCGTCTTCTCCAAGCTCTGATCTGCTGAACGAGTTGCCTTTTCTCTCAGGCTGGGTCTTTTCTCTTATGTACCTCCCGCCTGGCTTCCCCAACCCTGCCTCTCCTCTGGTTAAGCTGGTCTTGTCCCATTTTGAGTTGGGAAATGGAAAGTTTGGAATTTGAAGGATTTTAAGAAGGTAGGAAGGATCCATAAACTGGCATCCCCACGAATCACCCTGGTCATCAGGAGAGGCCCTTCGATTTGTCCTGCCACCCTCAAAGAGGACTCTGGAACTCTGTGCCACTGGAACCCCCATCATGGCTATCCTTCCACAAGCAGGCAAAGACCTTTCTCTTCTGGCAAGTTTTTCCTGGCTGCCTGAGTGGGGTTCTGGAAATGGATTGTTATACACGATACCTTTGCATATGTTTTGCCATTCATTTTGTTTTTAGAACATTTTTTTAAAAATCCACCTTTTTAGTATTTGTATGCTCACTGTTGTTAGCTTTAATATCTATCTTTTTATGATGTAAGCTGCCTTGGGTCCTTTCGGGAGAAAGGCAGGGGTAAAAATATTTTTAGTTAAAAAAAAATTCCCAAAGGGATGGCTTTTCTGGGTGGCAGAGCTGCACAGACCTTCTTCTGAGCAAATACAGACCAGCTGTGAAGGGGAAGTGGATTTACACCCCCAGCCATGTTTGGTGTCCACAGACACATGGAGGATGGAGAACACATTGGATAAGTCCCGCACAGTGGAGATTTGCAGTCAGGACCTGGAGGGGTGAGAGCCAGCTTTTGACTTCCAGTGTGGGGCAATGGCATCAGAAATATGCCTGCACCCATCATATTCAGCTGGCGAACTTGTAAAGAAACTCAAATAATCAGGACATTCAACCTGTGCAAATAATCCAGGACATGTAGTCTGTGCAACAGATTCAGATAAATCGGGATTTCTGACCTGCCTTAGTCAGACTTGAATGCATTTTCGATTTCTTTGCAGCTGAGACAAGAGCAGAATCCAAAAAGGCAGACATGATTTTGTGGTTTTCTGGGTTTTTCAGGCTCTTTCGCCGTGTTCCAAATGTTGTTCTTCCTGACGTTTCGCCAGTCTCTGTGGCCGGCATCTTTAGAGTCTGCCATATCATCTGGTTTCTATCAGAGCCGAAGCTGAATGTCCTGGAGTATATGAGTCCATTTACAAATTCACCAGCTGAACATGGGTGCAGGCATATTTCTCACACACCGTTGCTCCACACCAGATGACAAAAGCTGGATGATGATGATGATGATGATGATGATGATGATGATGATGATAATAATAATAATAATAATTTAAAAATATATATTGTGTTCTATACCAATAGTTAAAAATAGTTAAAATGCAACTATAACATAATTACAATAATAAAAAACACAGAAAACAATTATCATCCAATAAGGCAATAAAGCTATAAACAAACAATCAAAACAGCTATAATGCCAATATAATAACTGAAGTACAGTAATTCTATCACCATAATTGCCTATATCCATGGTCAACCCCTATGGTTCCAGATTGATTAAATAGATTTTTAGGTCTCGTTTGAATTTGCCCAACTCTATTTATTTATTTATTTAACTCTAGGCGGCTAACAGACAAAGAATAATAAAAATATACATATACAAAGCAACAAAATAATAAAAACTTAAGAAAGATAGAAAATCAGTAGAAAGGAAAGGAAAAGAACATCAGGAGTTGTCTGATGAGAAGGCCTGCCAAAACATCCATGTCTTCAATTGATTTTTGAAGATACCCAGCGAGGGAGCTCTGCGAATCCCAGGAGGTAGATTGTTCCAGAGGCAAGGAGCCACCGCCGAGAAGGCCCGATTTCTTGTCTTCTCCTTCCGGGCCTCCCTCGGCTTTAGGCTCCTCAGCCTCACCTCCTGGCTCGCACGAGTGACACGGGTAGATCTTGATGGGAGAAGGCGTTTCGCCAAGTATCGAGGCCCTAAACCATTTAGGGCTTTGTACGTAAGCATCAACACTTTGAAGTCGATGCGGAAACAGATGGGCAGCCAATGCAACGCAGCCAGAGTGGGCGAATTATGTTGGAATTTTTTCACTCCACTGAGTAATCTGGCCGCCGCGTTCTGCACCACCTGTAGTTTCCGCAGCAACCTCAAAGGCAGCCCCACGTAGAGAGCATTACAGTGGTCTAATCTTGAGATTACGAGCGCATGTACCAAGGTAGTGAGCGCCCCCACATCAAGGTAGGGCCGCAGCTGGGCTATCCGCCTAAGCTGAAAAAAGGCGGTACGGACCACGGACGCCACCTGGGATTCCATGATGAGCGCTGGGTCCAGATGGATCCCCAGGCTGCGGACCCCATCCTTGGCGGGCAGAGTCACCCCCCCAAAAGAGA